TAGACATCCTGAATCAGAATTTCTAGAACTGGTATGGAGCCCAAGACTCAGCATTTTAAAGAAGCAGCCGGGTGATACTGATGATCAGCCAGGTTTAGACTAACATAGGGCTTAGTGCACCAGGTGAGGAGACAGAATACCTGAATTTCATTTACAGCATCACCATTCATGGAGAGACCCTGGGCACTTCACTCCCTGAACCTGGGGGAAAATTGTGATACCCAGCTCCCGTGGCCTGTATGAAGACCAAATGAGGCAATGTTATGAAATACTTGTTGGAAACCATCAGACAATGCAAATGTTAATTGTTATTCCATATACATACATGACATGCAGCATATATGTTCATGTGTATCCATGTACCTGGATTTCCTACAGAAAGGACATGTCTGACTTTTGTCATCCTTCTTCATCTATGCTCCTGGCTGTCTTCAGTTTCAGATGGACTCTCTCACTTCAGGACACGCCTGGAGTCCTCTCGCCATAACTTGGCACTGTCTGATCATTTAAAAAGGATGTTTTCCATCTAATAGGTTTATCCACCCTCTATGATCTTCCAGATGTTCATCCCTTCTGGAGAGTAAGAAGAAAAAGGACTAGTCACTCCTGTCTGATGAGAAGGAGAAACGGAGGCAGATGGGTTTAGAGAGCCATATACCATTTAAACATAGGGCAGTAATTCTCTCATTTTGAAAACCTGGTGAAAATGCACATATACAAAATTCTTCATACAGTTTCAGGGTTTCTTGGACTTCCTGACAGTCTTCCATAGAAACCCTAGGAGTCCAGGAACCTCAGGTAAAGAACACCTGCCCACGTGGATCTAGCAGCCCAAGGCCTCTAAGCCCCCAGAGCATCACGTTCAAGCACATGAGGCATCCTTTCAGCCATGCCTTTGCCAGATGACCTAACTCACCACTCCTTCTCCCCAGGCTGCGAGATGAACTTGCCTGACCTCCCTGCCACCCACCGAAGAAAGAGCAACACATTACCTGCATCAGGACAGAATCTTCTCAGACCAAACTGTGCCTTCCTGTTACTGAGCCTGCAGCATGGAGAATCTGAGCTGCCATAAGGTATCAGGATAATGGATAGTTTTTATTGCAGTAGCATAAAGCACAACTCAAACTGGCTTAAACAATCAACCTATTGGTCCTTGACAATTAAAAAGAAGTTTTGAGGTGGGGTGGGCTTTATGCAAGGTCTGATCCATCTGCTCTATGCTGTTTCTTTTTGTCTTTCCACTCTGTCTTCCATGATGTCAACTTCATCTTAAAACTCTCAGTCCTCTAGGTTGCAACGTGGTTGCCAGCAGCAACCAAAGCTGTCTGCACCTTTGTTCACTCTCAGGAGAGACAGCAAGCTGCTTTTAAAATAGTCGTCATGGAAGAAAGTAGAAACTTCTTTCCAGAACCCCTCAGTCAATGTCTCTCCACATCTTATTAGCCCAGATTGAGCAATATCTCATCCGGATCAGAGCCCACATCTGACACAGTAAGCTGCATGGCTGGGAAGTTCAGATCATGGTATAGTCATGCCCCCATGCTCACAACCCCCAAGTCCTAGTACTAGGGCTTAGTCTCCTGCCCCTGCACACTTTAAACTGCTTTCAAGAAAGGAATTAAGAACTAAAGGAATGATTTTGTAAAGGCTCAGAATCTGGTCTTATCCCACAGTCCCTTGGTGAAAACCTAAACCAAGCAGGCCTGAGCCTTCTCAGGAAAGAGAGGGGAGAATTTTCATTTCCTAGAAAGGGAAAGAAACAGAATTTGCAGCCAGCCAGCTGAGCAGAACGCAGGCCACACGGAGTCCAGAGACCTGGGTTATGTCTCCTTGCTTCTATAGCTGACTTACTGAGTGACTAACAACTTGTTTACCTGCTCTGGCTTCTGTGCCAAAGGTAAAATAATCATCCCTTCCATTTTGCAGCAATCATTGGGTAAGGTTACAACCCCTGGGAAGGAAACTACGTCCTCAGAAGTTTCCAGGCTTGTGTGCTAAAGTGCAGAGGATAGAGGATGAGGTGTGTGGAGTGCTTTCTGGCCAGTCCTTGGTTGCCAGAACCATCCAGAAGATCTTGTATTGTGACTCCAATAAGACTGGAGGCCCCATATGGCCCAGACTCTGCTTGGAGGCTCATAGAAAGGAACATAGTTCAGCAACTGAAAGAAATCTTAAAAGAAATTCCAAGTATTTATTGTGTCTTTTGAAGAGATAGAAACACTTGGCAATGTTTTTCTAAAGCCACTTTTTCCTTAATTCTCTCACAGCCAGCTACTTAAGGGCTTTTGACATGCTCGAAGCTCCTATACTCTGTCCAGCACCCAAATATCCCCTTCCTTCTGAGCTCTTTATTATATAGGGTGATATTACCTCTTGTGTCAGGTCCTTCCCTCTTCTCCCAGTCTCTCTTCCCATCATTCTCCCAATTCTGTACCCCAGGCCAGGTGCAGTGGCCTGTAATCCCAGCACTTTGGGAGGTCCCAAGGTGGGAGGATCGCTTGAGGTCAGGAGCTCGAGACCAGCCTGGGCAACATGGTGAAACCCCATCTCTGCTAAAAATACAAAAATTAGGCTGGGCACGGTGGCTCACATGGGTAATTTCAGCACTTTGGGAGGCCAAGGCAGGCAAATCACGAGGCCAGGAGATCGAGACCATCTTGGGCAACATGGTAAAACCCCGTCTCTACTGAAAATACAAAAAATTAGCTGGGTATGGTGGTGTGTGCCTGTAATCCCAGCTACTCAGGAGGCTGAGGCAGGATAATCGCTTGGACCCAGGAGTCAGAGGTTGCAATGAGCCGAGATTCAGCCTGGCAGTGGAACAAGAATCCATCTCAAAAAAAAAAATCTAAAAAAATAATAATAATAAAAATAAATCTGTACCCAGAAGATCCAGATATTAGATTATTAAGCTAAAATGTTCCTTAGAATACTCACACTTTAATAAATCTTATCCTTGTCACATCAGCATCATCAGGGAACAGACTTCCAGTCTCATACACATGAAGGTTATTTTAGTACCCCATCTGGAAGCATAGAACATCAGCTTTAGTTGTTTTTGCTGCTGGAGACAACGGTCCATGAACCAGCTACCTTAAGAACATTGCCTTCTCATAGCTTTGGACCCTGGAGTTGTAATTCTGAACAAGTCTGTGGGATATTCTCTGTTGGCTCCTTCAGCTGTACTCTTCAGCCTTCTCCACGCTTCTCTGAGATCCAAGAGGTTGCCTTATGTTGTCTATACCAATAGGCTCCCTTGCCATCCAGTTCCTGGTTGGGTTTGGCCAATGGGAAGCATTTACAAGAGATGGAAAGGACAAAGAGAAGGTCAGGATGTTCATTCTCTCATCTCCCACTCTGCCGGGCTGATGGATGGCCAAGGCTCCCGTCACAGGTAGCTCTCCAACAGCTGTGGCTGTCCCTGGAATCTGATCAGTGCTCCCCACCTACACTTTCAGCCTAGAGGCAGTAGTGACTCCCTGTTGTTGCTGGCCCTGGGTGCTTCCCTTCCCAGTGTTGCTTCCCTCGGCCCTGTAAATTGCCCTTGTCCAACTCGCCTCACTTCCTTGAGTGACAGGACCTTGACTGATCCAGTGCCCCAGGACTTCCACAGCTTTGTCACCTCATTGACTGTCACTTTATCACGGTAAACTAGAGAGGGCATGGGGGAAAGATTGTACTCTTATTTATGGAAGTTCTGACTTTTGAAACTTTTTTAAATGATTCAGTCAAATGTCAAGGTCTAACTTTGAATCTTTAGGCTAGACGATGCGCCAATTTTTGACCAAGTTAAGGGATCAATCAGTGACTGAAGAATAGGGTCTCTCTGTGAACAACTAAGTGGAAAATGAATCCGCAGCCTATCACTACCCTGGTCTAACCACTGGACTAACACCACCAGGCAGCCAGCACTAAAACTCAGGGTGGGGCTTTTCCAAGCAACCCAGGCATTCTATTTCATCTTGGCCATAACAACACCAAAAAAGACAGAGAAAACACCAAGAACACCCTACAGAAAGGCTGAGTCTGTGATCAGCTTGATTTAAGCAATTCTAGAAAAGTCTCTCGCCCTCAAAAATCCACACCCCATCCCCCCATTTCCATCCCGGGGCTGATTAGGATTAAACCATCTATGCACAGATCTGAAATTTCACAAGTAGAGAGGCATAACTTTGCCTTTAGGCCAGATATGAATATTGTTCCCTGAAAGGAGTAATTTAGTTACATTTGATTAATATTTCCATTATGTGCAAGGCAGTGTGCTAAGCAGTAGGTAATGTTTTAATCCTATCTATTACCCTTGAGTATGAATAAACTGGGTATCAGAAGCAAGGAAAACCACTGAGAGGTGAGGAGAGATGTGCCAAAAAGGGAGGAAAATGAACACGAATTTTGCCTTTATTCATCCTGGGCTCAAGTGAGACGCTCTAGATTAGGGACATAAATAAGAGGTCTGTGGCATGTGGATGGTGTTTAAGGGACCACATAAGGCCACCCAGAAGGAAGGGTACAGAGGAGAGGAAAAGGGAGCATAAGGAAAGGAAAGAGAAGAGAGCAGAGGCTATTCAAGAGCTAAGGTCTAGACCATTCCAATTTTACAGGTTGTAAAAAGTGAAAAAGCAAATCTAAAAAAGACAAATGGAGAAGGAACAGCTAGTGAAATCAGAGGAAGATTGAAAGACCCTGGTGTCCTGGAAGCAACTGAAGAAAGTGTTTCAAGAAGAAAGGAGTGATCACATGACTTAAAATGCTACCGATGGGTCAAATAAGAACAGAGAATTGACCATGGAATCTGTCAACACAGAAGTCATCAGTGGCCTTGATAAATGTAGTTTCACTGCCATGATAAGCATAAAAGGCTGATTGGAGCCTGTGACGGAGACTAGGAGGTGAGGAAATAGAAACAGTAGTTTTGCTCTGAATGGTTAGCAAATGGTGAAGTAACTGGAGGGAATGTGGGGTCAAGGATATTTTTTAAAGCTGAGAGTTGTTACATCCCATCAGTATGCTGATGGGAATGATCCAGTTGAGATGGAAAATTTGATGCTGCAGATGAGAGAGTGGATAATTGCTGGAGTGATGCTTTTTAATAAGCAAGAGAAGAAGGGATCCAGTGTGCAAGGGGAGGGGCTGGCCTCAGACAGACACATGGACGATTCATTCATCATGAGAGGAGGAAAGGTGGGGCACGTGGGCACAACTTCTGGAGGTTGGTATTTTTGGTGGTGGGAGGATGTGATCTTTTTTCTTTTCTGATTTCTTTTTTTTTTCCTCAGTGGGGGAAAAATGATGTCATCAGCTGAAAGTGAGAAGCAAGGAGAGCTGCGTGCAGGCCTGAAAAGAAAGGAGGCGTGATGCAGTCATCTGCCAGAGGGAGTAGGAGAGGCGATTTGCCTGGGGAAAACAGTGTAGGATTGCTGGGCAGCAATATGGCAGCAATGTGTCCTCCGAGGTCAGTGGTGATGAAGTTAAAGGGAAACCTTTCAGTACAGCTCTGTGTTTTTATCCAGCCACCTTTAACACCTGGAGTGCAGGCATGAAATAGCTAAAAGTCAGATTTGACAAGTGTTGATTTTGCTAGGCCTATAGGTTGGGAGAGAGAAGATCAGAATGGTTGTAATTGTTATCTATTACTGTGAAACACATGACTCCAACACAATTACCCCCAAACAACAAACATGTATTACCTCCTGGTTTCTGTGGGTCACAATTTGGAATTTGGAAGTAGCTCAGGCTGGGCAGTTCTGGCTTGGGGTCTTTCACAAGGCTGCAGTCAAGATGTTACCTCAGGTTACAGTCATCTAAAAGCTTGTCTAGGGCTGGAGGATCTGCTTCCAGGGTGGCGCACTCACATGGCTGGCAAGTCAGTAGTGGTGGTTGGTGGAAAACTCAGTTCCTCTACAGGAACCCTCTATAGACTGCCAGAGTGTACTCATAGCATGACAACCAGCTTCTCCCAGAGCTACCAGTCCAAGAGGGAGACCTAAGCAGAAGCTATCCTTCCTTGACCTATGCTCAGAAGTGACATTGCATTACTTTTGCTGCATTCTATTTGTTAAACGCAAGTCACTAAGTCAAGTCCCCATCCAAGGGGAGGAGAATTAGACCCCACCTTTTAGAGGGAGTAGTGTTGTTACAGACTGAATGTTTATGTCTGCCCCCACCACAGATTCCTGTGTTGGAGCCCTAACCCATAGTATGGCTGTATTTGGAGATGGGGCTTCCAAGAAACAAATTAATGTTAAGTAAGATCATAAAGGTGAGTCTCTGATCCAATAGAATTCATTTCCTTTTAAGAAGAGACACCAAATAGCTTACTATCTCTCTGTCTGTGCCCAGACATCAAGGAAGAGCCACGTGAGGACACAGCAAGAAAGTAGCCATCTACAATTCAGGAAGCATCCTCACCAGAAACCAAATTGGCCAGAATCTTAGTCTTAGACTACTAGCCTCCAGAACCGTGAGAAAAAAAAAAAAAATCCATGCTCAAGCCACCCACTCTAGAGCATTTCATTATGACAGCCAAGCTGATGAGTACAAGCATCAAAGAACTTGCAGACATATTTTAATGTCACTACAAGGCCCCAGGGTTTATGTAAGTATATTTATTGTTCTGGACCATGGATTATAAGCTGAGCAGTGAGGGAGGTGATAGAATGGAGGAATGAATGAGTGAAAGGACGGGGGGGCCAGTGTGTGGAAGGAAGGTTTCTGGGGGGAAGAGTGTAGGAGTGGGTGTACAAGGGAAGCAAGTTGAACAGATATGAGGTAGTGGTCCAAGAAAGCTACTTGAAATGGAGATTTTGGACATGGCACAGTTACTGCTGGTGATAAGATCTAGCATTAGATCATGGGAGTGGGCAGCGGAGGCAGGCAGGGAGGGACAGGTCACTGGTGGTGAGAAAGTTAATTAACTGGAGGCAGAATGTTGGAGGGGTCATCTAATAGACACAGACCAGGAATGATGCTGACTATAGCGATGAACAGAGCGATAGTGAGCCAGGTGCTCAGGTCTTTCATGAATGGGGGAGTGATGGGGACAGAGTAGATGATTGCCACAGGGAGCAAGCAGTAGCAGGACAGAGCCTGAGAGCCAGTGGGACAAAGGGACAGTCCATGTTCTAATCTGGGGGGTGGGAGTTACTACTGGGTTGGCTATTAAGGAGCCACATGCACAACCACGTTAAGAGGAGAAGCAGAGGATCTGAGTGCATGTGCGTGCGCGCACACACACACACACACAAATGCACATGCATGACAGACGGTAATAGCATGTATCTCATAGGGCTGTTAAAACGACCAACTGAGCTAATACTTAGTGCTGAGACAGTGCCTGTGTGGGGTGTTTTCTGACACCAACCAACTCTCCAACACCAACTGGGTGTCCAGCAATTCAATTCAATTCAGTTCTGACACTACCGGGAGTTAGCCTCAGTTCCCACAAGTTAAAGGGATCAATCCCTCAAGACTGCCTCCCCCCACTTCCGGTGGCAGCTGCAAATAACAAGCTAACCACACTTCTGCCCAGATGACTACAAAGGTAGGCATCCCCACACCACCCCCGAAGAGGTTCAGTAATTTGTTAGGACAACATACGTTTATTGGTTATAAAGGATACAAATGAACAGCCAGATAAAGAGCTACACAGGGCAACATCTGAATGGGTGCCGAGTGTAGAAGCCTCTGTCTTCTGCATTCACCAACCTTGGATCTCTTTGAATTTCTTTGTTCAAAAGATTTTCTGACCCAATCTCTAGCCCTCCTCCACCTCCAGGAGTTGGGGGTGGTGGGGAGAGTGAGGCTGAAAGTTCCTACCCTCTTCCCTCTAATCACGGTCTTTCTGGTGGTCAGCCCTCATCTTGAAGCTCTCCAGGGACCCCATCCTGGCCATCTCATGAGCATAAACTGAGGTGTGGTTAAAAGAGGCTCCTTATCAATAACAAAAAATCACTCTGGAAATTCCAAGAGTTCTAGGAGCTCTGTATCAGGAACAGGACATGAAAACCAAATTTTGTTTTGTTTTGTTTTGTTTGTTTTGTTTTGTTTTGTTGAGACAGAGTCTCACCCTGTCACCCAGGCTGGAGTGCAGCAGTATAATCTCAGCTCACTACAACCTCCACCTCCAGGGTTCAAGGGATTCTCCTGCCTCAGCCTCCCAAGTAGCTGAGACTACAGGTGTGCACCACCACGCCTGGCTAATTTTTGTATTTTTAGTAGAGATGGGGTTTCATCACATTGGCCAGGCTGGTCTGGAACTCCTGACCTCAGGTGATCCACCCGCCTCGGCCTCCCAAAGTGCTGGGATTACAGGCATGAGCCATCGAATCTGGCCGGTTATATTTTTTATTATACTGTCTGCCACTTAGTAAGTTCTATGTGATAAAAGCTAGTAATATCCCCTTGTTACAGATGAAGCCACACTTAGGTCACTTGCCTGTGGGCACACTGTAAGGACCAGAGTTAGAGACTAAAACTCGGTATTGGGTCAAATGAGAAAGAAGCCAGTCTACTGAGGAGCAGCCAGTCCAGAGGTATTTTAGGCGGGCCTCCATTGAGACTTAATTCCCCACATCCAACAATACCTGCTACTATTTTTTAAAAAAATTCTTCTTGAGATAGCCTGAGTTGATTTTGTTATTTACAACCAAATGCTCTGACCAGAGTAACTACACCAAGGGTCAGAACAGCCTACGCACCGTGTGAATGATGCAAGCTGAGAATGACTAGAAAAGATAGTTTAAGAGCTAATGGCAAAATTCCTCTGTGGGACAGAATTGTTGGAATCTAAAATATAGGCTTAGGGCATAAACCTGAAGTAGAAGAGGGGACAAAAGGAGAGTTGAATTGCTTGGCTTAAAAACTGGGTGGGGGCTGACCACCAGAAAGACCAGCAAGAAATTTGTTTTGTTCATTCAGCCTCCTAAGAGAAAATTTGGGGTTGACACCAATTTAGCTTTATTTATTTTATTTTGAGACAGGGTTACCTTCTGTTGCCCAGGCTGGAATATGGTGATGCAATCCTGGCTCACTGCAACCTCAACCTTCTGGGCTCGAGGCCTCCTCTCACCTCAGTCTCCTGAGTAGCTGAGACTACAGGCACGTACCACCATGCTCAGCTAATTTTTAAATTTTTTGTAGAGATGAGGTCTCACTATATTGCCCAGGCCGGTCTTGAGCTCCTGGGCTCAACAATCCTCCCACCTTGGCCTCTCAATGTGCTGAAATTACAGGCATGAGCCACTGCACTCATCCTCCAGTTTGACTTTATTATGAAGTTGTAATAAGCAAGCAAGCATCCTTGTACCCCAAACTTTTTTTTTTTTTTTTTTTTTTTTGAGACAGGGTCTCACTCTGTCTTCACCCAGGATGCGGTGGCTTGATCATGTTTCACTGTAGCCTCTATCTCCTAGGCTCAAGTGATCCTCCCACCTCAGCCTTCCAAGTAGCTGAGACTACAGAAGCACACTACTATGCCCAGACAATTTTTTTATTTTTGTAGAAAGGGGGTCTCGCCAGGCACAGTGGCTCCTGCCTGTAATCCCAGCACTTTGGGAGGCCAAGGCGGGCAGATCACCTGAGGTCAGGAGTTCAAGATCAGCCTGGCCAACATGGTGAAATCTCTACTAAAAATATAAAAATCAGTGGGGTGTGGGGCATGCACCTGTAAGCCCAGCTGCTTGTGGGGCTGAGACAGGAGAATCACTTGAACTGGGAAGCAGAGGTTGCAGTGAGCTGAGATCATGCCACTGCACTCCAGCCTGGGTGACAGAGCAAGACCTGGTCTTAAAAAAAAAAAAAGAAAAGGGGTCTCACCATGTGGCCCAGGCTGGCCTCGAACTCCTGAGCTCAAGCAATCCTCCTGCCTCAGCCTCCCTAATTGCCAAAACTTTGATCGTATCTCCGATTATTTCCTTAAGGCCAAATTCTAAGAAAACAGGGCATAAGGTATCTATGCCCTGTGACCAAACAATTTAAAACCTGGAACCAAACTTCCCCACCAGAAAGACTGAAACAGTTTAGATTTCTGTCAGCAGTAAATGAAAGTGCTTGGTTTCTCAGGGTGTTCCTATGGTGTTAAATCCTTGAGAAATAGGTGAAAATTCCTTTAGTTTGTATTTTGTTATTACTGGTGAGTCTGAACTTTTTTTTTTCATATATCTATTGGCTGTATCTATTTTTCTTCTTTTAAAAATTGCCTTCTCCAGGCCTTTGCTCTCTCCCCTGTCTGGTGCTTCCCATCTTTCTTGTGCACAAAAATCCTACCTCTTCCCTGCCTTCTCATATAGCTCATAATAGCTTACTCATCACAATCCATCACAAAATGACCAGTTTGCTTGGTCTTAAACCTGAAAGTCCCACGTGCTGGAAACGCTCTCAGTCCCTGGCACACTGGAACAGTTGGTCACCCTACTGCTGGGCCTTAGATTGCTTTTCCCCCGCAGCAAAATGAGGACCAGATGTTCTCTGGTGTTACTCCCAGCTCTTCATTCATTCGCTCCACAAATACACACCATGCTATCATGCTGTACTGCTCTGGGCAGTCATTCTGCTAGGGAGACATCAAGGACTCCTCAGCAAACAGGACCCAACTCTCCCTAACCATCCATGATGGCTCCCTGGAGGAATAATATCTTGATGAATTTGCAACAAAAACCTTAATGTAATTGGCTGATGGCAGATAAGGAAGCCCTAATAGGGGGCAGGAAGAATGTCCCTTGGGTACACCAGAAGGAATTTAGATGCCAGGAAGCGTGAGAGAGAGATGAAGGGACCAAAAGATAAATCTGACTGACTTTGAAGTTTGGCTGAAGATCAACCCAGAAATAGCTGTGTGTATTTCCCCAGAACCAGAGGCAGATGTCCCACCATCTGAGGCTGTCTTTCCCCTCACACCCTTCCCAGATTCCTGAGCCCTCAATATAGGCATTTCAGAATCTCCTTCTCTGGGTTCCAAGGCCTGTAATGTCTTATGCATTTCTTATATTGGCCCAGGTATACATTCTCCACGATTTGGAAAGAGTTTCTCTCCCTGGGACAAATGAGCACCATCAGAGATCATTTATAAAGAGCAAGCACTTTTGTGCCTCCATATTATCGAACGGCAGAAAAAAAATTTCACAAAGCCCAAGAAAGGGCCTCAAAGAAACTGTCAAGTACACAAAGCTGAGCAAAACCTCTCTTCTCAACGCCACAGTCGTGCCTGGCTTTTAAAATTCTAATTAAGAGAAAACGAAGAGGGCGAACTCACTGAAGGCAAGAACAGAGGCCTGGCTGTAATTCCACCCGCTCCCCACCACCCTCAAGCACTGAACCCAGAGCTTGTACACAGTAGGAGGTAAGTAAATACTGATGAAATTGAGTGGAGCTGGCCCAGAGCAGAGGAAGCGGGAAAGGGAGGAGGGAGCTGGAGCCCAGGGCTCCTGCCGTCACCGCCTTCAGGCTGCGAGGAAAGTCGAATGAAAAGCCTGCCAGACCTCTAACGAGTGCTCCACCGCCAGCAGGCTGCAATTGCTCATTGTGTTTGGTTATAATTAGCAGCATATTCTGCGATGGCAAAGCAGGCAGCGAGCAGGAGCAGGGCTGGGAACAGGCTGCCACCCTCGCAGCCATCGGTCCGGGGGCCTGGGCTGCAGAACTTGGGCTCCTTCACTTCCTGGCCCTGCCTGCCCTGGATCCAGTCTGGGCGTGGGCTGGCAGACCTCGATCGGTGATGCTGGGCCAACACCAGACCCCAAAGAGGAACTATTTGCTGTGATTGCATGAGAGCATGGGCTGAAAAATTGGGCTCACCTGGGGTTAAGACCAAGTTTTGTTTGCAATGTACAAACAATGTGTCCACAGGCACGTGAGCCTCAGTTTCCCCATCTATAAAATGGGTCAGTAATAAAAATACTAGTACTCCTCTTTCTTATGGTGTGTGGTGAGACTTGAAACGGACAACTCATCTAAGGCACTTGGCAGAAGGCCCTGTGTGCTGTTGGCACTCAGTGTCTTGCAGCTGCTATTGCAAAAGTGACAGAAGTGGCTTCTACTCTGGCCCTTTCCTCTCCCCTCTCTGCAATGTTTATCTCACCCCTGCACAGGTGCTCAGCAGCCTGCAACTTCTTTCTCCACCCCTATGGAACCAGCTCTCAGGGGAGGGTCTGCCTTAGCAGTGTCAGTTCAGTGTAAACAGAGGGAACTGCGTGACCTCTCCTAGGGGAGTGGCCTCAAATTTTTTAAACTGTGATCCACAGGACAAAATACATTTTACATAGTGACCAAGGACACACATACTTATCAGTAAATAAAACAGAAACGTAAGTTTCATGAAACCACACTTACACAAACCAAGTGCAATGCATTCTGATACGTTCTGTTCTCTTCCCTTCTCTCTTCTATCACATTCTATTTATACATAGTCTCCAATTTTTTATAGTATATATTTTAATTTATATTATATATGTTTATATTATATAATTTATATTTTATATATTCTTCTAGTATATATACATATATGTATGTATATATGTGTATATACATACGTATATAGCAGTGTCAGTTCAGTGTATATATATACACTATGTATATATGTATATAAATATGTGTATATAAATATATATGTGTATATATATTTATATAAAACAGTTTTAAAATTTTGCCAAAGGTCAGGATCCAGAAACCTTCAGTGTGAAACACAATGCCCCAGGAAGAGGTAAGTTAGCTTTCATCTCTTACTATGAATTCAAAGCCTGTGTTCTCCATTCTTTTTTTTTTTTTTTTGAGATGGAGTTTTACTCTGTCACCCAGTTTGGAGTGCAGTGGCACAATCCCAGCTCACTGCAACCTCCCCCTCCCAGACTCAAGTGATCTTCCCACCTCAGCCTCCCAACTGGTTGGGACCACAGGCACACACCACAACACCCAGCTAATTTTTTGTATTTTTGGTAGAGATGGGGTTTCACCATATTGCCCAGGCTGGCCTCGAACTCCTCAGCTCAGGCGATCCACCTGCCTTGACCTCTCAAAATGCTGGGATTACAGGCGTGAGCCACTGTGCCAGGCCTCTGTTCCTGTTAAAGGGATTTTTTTTTTTTTTTTTCAATCAGGGAGCTATTGAGAGAGAGAGAGAGAGAGAATTCTGGAAAGCTGGAAGCTTTTCTCTAAAGCCACAGAGCCATGAGAATGGGTTTTTGCATAAGTTCTTTTTAGGGGGGCTTCAGAATTAAGCTATTTCCCAAGAAACATGGAGGCCACCCATCCTTTGCTCCTATACTAATTTACAAGTTAACTTTTCCTTAGCTGGGATTCCAGAAAATCTTCCAAATGCCACTATGCCTAGGTGCTAGGGAAGGGCAAGATTTATGTAGACTCAGTCGGACAGGAAATACTCTGAGCTAGGATTGTACTTAAGGGTTTTTTCCATAACAAAATCAGGGCATGTGGCCTCACAAGTACCTATGAGGACAATAGGATAAAATATTTAAAACCGGAACTGTCCTGGAAAGTCTCCAACTTGGGACTGCACGGTTACCATGAGAAGTGGAGAATCTGATGCCAAGAGAATCAGAAGGAGGGAGAAATCCTCTCTCCTATACACCCAGGTCTTGCCTTCTGGTTTGGGGGAAGGAGCCTTGGGTTTCCAGAACCTTCTGGAATACCAGAACTCTCTCCTAATACCCTTGAGCATTGTATTAGTCTATTCTCATGCTGCTAATAGAGACATCCCAGAGACTGGGTAATTTATAAAGAAAAAGAGGTTTAATGGACTCACAATCATGGCAGAAGGCAAAGGAGGAGCAAAGTCATGTCTTACATGGCAGCACGCAAGAGAGACAGCATGTGCAGGGCAACTCCCCTTTATAAAACCATCAGATCTTGCGAGACTTATTCACAATCATAAGAACAGTATGGTAAAGACCCACCGCCATGATTCAATTACCTCCCACTGGGTCCCTCCCACGACACATGGGAATTATGGGAGCTACAATTCAAGATTTGGGTGAGGACACAGCCAAACCATATCAAGCATGTTCAGTTATTAAATACTTTAGTGGATTTATAGGAGGACTGGATCGTGACTGGTAAGAGGAGAAGTAGAGAGAGTAAAGGGAAATGGGAGGCCTCCAAAGTTTTTCCTAATTTCACTTACAGCTGCTTGAGCTCCCAACTTCTTGCTCCCCCTGCCCTGCTCCAACCTCCCCTCAACTCTCCACCACATCCCCAGAGTGCCCTCAGTTGTCTCTGCCATTAACAACTTGACTGTGGTCAAAGAGGGGCTGGGCTGGGCTGGGCTGAACTTTCACAATTGACTGTTTTCTTCATGGATCAGTTCCACAGTAGGAGAGTGATGTAATCAGAGACGCTTAAATGCTTGGGTTCCTCCCTTCTACACTAGGACCCAGGTTTTGAAGCTTGAGTGGGAAAACAGACCTGTGGGAGGGTCTAAGGACACCCTCATCCAATCTTCCCTACCCACAATTTCTTCTACTTTCAGCCCTAGCTACATATACTACCCTCATCTATATTTCCCAGTAATATACATATACATAGCCACAGAGAATGGTCATCTCCAAGCCTGAGTCTTCTGTGAGCCCCTCAGAATGGTCAGAGCAGAACCACGGAAGGGATGTTGATTGCAGCATACACTCAAGAGCCTGATTTGCATATAACAATTTTCAGACTCTCTCTCTCTATATATACACACACACATACACACACACACATATATATATACACGCACACACGTATGTAAAAAGAGCCTGATTTGGACCCCAGGGTGCAAAGCCAGATGAGACAATGGAGAACCTCCTCTAAGAACCCTCTCTGAGAATTTCCTCCCCACAAGTTCCAAGGAGAAGAACCGAAGGGGAAATGGAGTCACCTTCCAAGACCTCTTTCAATCTCTATTGGTACCAAACAAGCCCAACCCCGCACATGAGATCAACATTTGCCAGTCCCCAGCCTCAATGCCAGAAAATAAAACTCAAAGTCTCATTAATCATTTACCCATTTGCCTTGTTCCAAGCTCCAACTCCACTCTTCCTCAGCCCTGCACTTTCTGAAAACAGTGCCTTGAATGAGAACCCCCCCAATTGCTGTTGCTTTCTGCCATCTGCCTCCTTTGCCTACCTGTTTCCTATGTCTATGTTCCTAGGAGACTAATTGTGATTAAATTACAGGGTAATACTAATAGAGGGGTGAGAACCCAGCTAATGGCTTACTGTTCCACTAGGCAACAATTGTAGTAATCACCAAGCTGAAGGCTCCTGTGCATTAGCTGGGGGTTGCTGGGGTTTCCTGGCCCACGCTTCCTCCACAGCCCTGTCTGAGCAAAGGAATGCAGTTCACAGGGCAAACTGAAAACCCAGAGGCAAGTGAAGATGCAAATGACATGACTGAAATAATAAGAGGGAAAGCAAGAAAGCCCTTTCAGGAGTAAGAATTTGAATCACAGCAAAAGCAGAAGCGAATTGTATTGGGTTCAATGTTTCAAAAATATCTTGGAAAATGAAACTAAGTAATCCCATAAATTATTAAAGGAGCTTTGACTTGGGTTTTCCAGGATGCAATGAGGCTGGTCCTTAACTCACTTTTTTCAGATTTGACCTGATGGAGGTATGTGTAACATAAATATGTAGCTCTGCATGGCAAATCCACACCCCAAACCATTTTAGACATGTGGCAACAGCATCACAAGCCCGTCCAAAAAATTGTGCTCAGCCGGGCATGGTGGCTCACTCTTGTAATCCCAGCACTTTGGGAGGCCAAGGCAGGCGGATCTCTTGAGGTCAGGAGTTCAAGACCAGCCTGACCGACATGGAGAAACCCCATCTCTACTGAAAATACCAAAATTAGCCGGGCGTGGTGGTGGGCACCTGTAGTCCCACCTACTCAGGAGGCTGAGGCAGAAGAATCACTTGACCTGGGAAGCGGAGGTTGCTGTGAGCCGAGATTGCACCATTGCACTCTAGCCTGGGCAACAGAGCAAGACTCTGTCTAAAAAAAAAAAAAAGTTGTGCTGACATTGGGATGGAAGGAAAACAAGTCATGGTCCCTGACTTCAGGGTCCTCACAGTCCAAGATGGGAGATGAAATCAAATTTAACTGTTAGTACCTATTGCTGACACTTGTGACCCGCTTCTCAATTTAGGAAGCACTTCACAGGACCTCACAGGATCTCATCTGTGAGGATCATAGGGACTATTCACATTCTACGTGGAAACTGAGACTCACAGGGATTAAGTGACTTGCTTGAGGTCCTATACAGCCCAAATTTCTGAATTATTTTGACTCTTGCCTCTTCCCAGCAATGTCTCATTCTGCTCTTGAAGAAGTCTGTCCTTGCACACTCACACTCCTGGAGATGCTATAAAACAGGAAGAAACAGCTCTCTCCCCTCCAGGGTCAGAATATCATACAGAGATGCCCCAAGGCCTTATAGAGTTTGGCCGAAACAGTGGTGCTCTCTCTTTTTAATTAGAGTTCCCTCTCTCTCGCTAAAACCCAGACTTGGATGCACTGAGCCCTAGCCTAGGAAATACATCCAAATGGTAGACAGTGTCTTGTGCTTAAAAAAAAAAAAGAAGTAAATGTCATGTTAATGCTCAGCATTCAGAAAATAGAAGCATTTGAGTTCAAAATGTGTCATAAATCAAATGTAATCAGATGTTAAAATAGGAATTTCAGCTGAATCACAAATAGATACCAAATTCCAGAGTGAAGTGCTAGACCAGGATTTACAAAGTAAGTGGCCAAGAATAAATATGGTACAAAAGAGTTGAGGGGAGGATTTAGATGAGAATTTCTTTGGAGAGAGCTGTGCTGCGAGTCCTACCCCATCCCTACCTCAAATATAGGTGTCAAGCCTGAGAAACCAAAATGGCAAGAGGTACAGCAGAGTACACATGGGAGGTACACATGAGGGTTACACATGGGAAGTGACTGTATTCACAGCGTTGTTGGGGCAAAGGTGTGAGCCATGACCAAGAGAGGGGATTGGCCTGGTGTGTTCAGAGAACGCTACTCTAGAGAGTAACCTGGAGGGACAAAGAGATCTTAGCCAAGAGAAGCTGGGAGGTGTGGCCAGATTCCTAGGGATGTGGATGGAGTAAGCAAAGAGCCTGAGGAAAGCATATCACTTGAATTGAGAGGTCCCCAGCAATGGGGGAGCTGAAAGCACCCACAAAAGTGTCAGCATTAAATACTTGCCAAGTATAGGAAACCTCCCTGCCAGATCCTCACACCAGGGCCAATCACATGGAAGCTTTCCTGCTTCTTCCCACTGCAGGGATCAGAAATCACGGTTTAAAAGAAGAGAGAGAGGGGACAAAAGTGCCCCCTCCTCTAAGTGCCCACC